GAATTTTAAAATTTTTGTAAAGAAAATTTGTAAAAAAAAAAATTGAATACAGAATTTTCAAAATAAAGCTTGGAAGGTATGTGGCACATTCAAACTGAAGTCACTTTATATTTGCAGCTAAGTTCAGGAAATGAGTGTTAAGCAATGCTGTTTATATAAAATGTATATTTTAAATAAAATATATATTTTATATACATACACACATACACTAAACTATAACAAACAACATACAAAAAGACACATTTTAAACATAATTTGCTATACAGTACTAGTAAATGTAAAGTGAGGGCAGTACTATGGCAGTTAAATTTGTTTATAGGATATTTTCAAAGACTTAATATTGTAATCTTTAACTAATAGGGTATTGTTTCTTTAAATAAAGCACAGCATGATTATAAATATATACGACACTCAAACAGTCCAAAAAACCTGCATGGCATTAAATAGCATTAAGCATAGGATCTTCCTGAAATGCAAGATTGGTCAGTTTGAGACCAAGCAAAACTTGTTCATAACTCTTGACAGACTCTTTCATATAGGGTTATTGAAAGTTTTGTAATTATTAAAAACTTTTAGAGGGAAAAATATCTAACAGGCTAAGAAATCCAAATCCAGTCATAAATTCTAAATTGTCCCTAAAAGTTATGCTATGCAAGTCAGTTCATCCATGATTATTTACAATTGTGAGTTTATCTCTGTGATTCCCTAAAGTAACTTTAACATTCTTAATATTCTTTAATGGCCTCAAATTTTAGCTGCCCTGATATACAAACCCAGAGTTTGAAAAAGAGATGTTTTGAGTTTGCAAAAAAGCAGGCAAAGAACAGAGACCTTGACAGCTAAGTAAAACAATCTAATCTGGTGGTCTTCAGATGTTATGCATTACTGAAAGAACTAGGACATTTAGTTCTTTCTCATCCAGAGACAAATTAATGCTTCAACGTTGCCCCTAGACTTGTTACTGTTAGAATTCTAAACAGGAGCTGGTGGTAAAATCTGAAGGTTCTGTTTATGTCTATGAAAGTACATCTTTAAAATACATACGTCAAACAATGTTTTCCCCACAACTTGACCACTTTATTATACTGCATTGAGCGATATCTGAATTTTGGGAACAACTTATCATAAAGCACCAGCCTGACTACATGTTACTAATGTTCACAGTGAAAGGTGAGTGTATAGAATCCCAAGGGCTTATCCCTCAACTATCCGAAAAGGCAGGGAAGATTGGAATCACTGTGAGAACTACTGAACTCCTCATTATCTTCCCATTTCCCAGAGAAAAATGCTGGGTGAATAAAAAAAAATGGAAGAGTTATTTGAGAAAAGGAGGCACACTGCTGGTTTCTTACTACTAATTTCTTAAAACCTTCTTGGTATGTATTTGCTTCTCAAATTTCAAATCTTTCCTATTCTTCCCCAAATGCGTATTGATCTGACCTCCCTGCTACTAGAAACAGAAAAGTCTCATGGCTCAGAGTGGATCTATTACAGAGTAGGACACAGAAAGTTTCCCATGATGCATCTGTTGTAGCAGTCAAAGATCTGAGGAGGATGCAGAAGGGTTGCCTTTTTATTTGCACGTACAGGTAGTCCTTGCTTACCGAATGCCTTGTGCAGTGACTGTTCAAAGTTATGATGGTGCTAAAAATAATTTTGCGGCCAATCCTCACATTTACAACCACTGCAGCATCCTGGAGTCACATGATCGCCATTTGCATTCTTCACAACTGGCTTGCAACAAGCAGAGTTAATACAGAAGGCGGAAGTAAAATTGTAAGTTGCAGTCACATGATTTTCCACTTAGTGACTGCATCACTTAGTGATCGAATTCCCAGACCCAATTGTGGTCGCTAAGCAAGGACTACCTGTATATACTTCCTGCCAAAAGTCACTTCAGCTTACAGAACATGCCTGATGAAGCTTCGGCACAGGTGTAGGATCAAAAGTAAAATCAAAACACATTAGCACTGAACAAATATTGCTTGCTCAGTAATACCACTGCTGTCAGGCTGACAAAAGTGGGCAACAGTAGTGTCATAAATTCACATTGTATTTACAATCGACACATGTAGAATAAGAACTTATACAAAATCCATGTAATTGAGGTTCTATTCATAGGCGCATGCTGCAACTGAATACATGTGCTAGAGTTCTCTATCTTTTTGAGCATATGGATGGGATGACTGTCAAATATCAGGACTCAAGAGAAGATGGTGGGGAGAACAGACCTCTTCTGCCAGCCACCGCATAATCCTGACTCAGCAAAAAAGGCTTCACTTCCTGCTTTCCTTCCTAGGCAGCTCTCCAATAGGAAAACTGGGAAAGAACAGGACGTGGGAAAGGGAAATACTTCAGTCATTGGCTGATATTTCTGAACTAAATCCAACATACAGATTTTTTTTTTTAACGTGCATCTCAACCCACTCCCATTTCTTTACTGAAAGCCCATAATATCTTCAGGGGGAGGCTGTTTTGTGTGCTGGTGGAAATACTGACCTCCTAGTAGATGTGCAGCCACTCTTCCATAAAGTCAGCATCCCCACAAACAAACAAGTACAGGTAGTCCTCATTTAGCAACTGTTCACAAACATGACCAATGCAGGCATTTAGGACAACAAAAACCTTCAGTGTGAAACTGATTAAAGTTTGATCAGTTTCAGGCAGCAGCAGCAACTGGGGGCAGGGTTCTAATCAACCAATCAAGGTCACAGAGCTGAACTTTTTAACTTGCAGTTAGCACTTTTTAGGGAAGTGCTGCACTGTAGGGAGAAAAATAGCTCAGGAACAGATTGCTTGTTTAAACAATTCCTCTGCCCTGTGAGGGGGGAAAATGGGTCTGGCACAGGACACTGTATGAGAGAACCTTAGCTGAATGAGACAGCAGCAACCAGTGATCTTTGCAGTCTCTCTCTCTCTAAGTCACATGGTTTGCTTAGTAACCATTTCACCAGAACCAACTGCAGTCACTAAGCGAGGACTACCTGTAAGAGAAACAGGCTGTGCTGATCAGGTGTCCCATCCCTCTGGCAGCCAAAGCAAAATTGTCCATGGAGTCACCGAACCCTCTGGCCAGATGCTCCTCCAGTAGGCCAGGTAGAACCCAGCAGGTTGCCAATCCTCTTAAGACTCCTCCATGGAACGTGGAATCCACCACCAGGATCTAGCTTCAGCCCCTCCTCAGAAGTGGGCTGGCAATGAAAGCCAGGCCCCACAGTAAGGACATGTCTTTTGCAAAAGCTTAGTAGAACTTAGGCCGTGTGGATGAGCCCCATGTAATCTTTGCCCAGGTCTTAGATTAGCTTACTATTCTTTTTTTTTTCTTCCTAGCGTTTTTCCTGCAGGTGCAGGGTCCACTTTCTTTTGGATCAACCAAATGTTGATCCATTGGTTGCAACCAGAATTGACTGACCGGGTTGTCACCCGAGCTTGATGTCATAGTTTACCATTCATATGTATACCAAAAAGCTCACTGAATAGCCCTTTTATCAAGATTTTCTATTTTTTTGGAAAGGGAACCATGTAAGAATTCACATCTTCAAAGTAGTAACTTAAACAGGACAATAGCTTTTTTGTTGCTAGACACTAATACAGCTACACTCCTGGAATTATCTTAACAGAGGCATAAACTGAGGCTAAATCAATCATTTAATCAATCAATTAAAATAACTGGATTTCAACTGACAAGTACAGCAATGCTGATAATGTCCTCTAGCATATCTGCATGCAATATCATGCAGCAGTGTTAATACAATGTCAGGGTAACAACTTTTAAAATGTTTTTTTAGGACACACACTTCTGGTTCATATTGTTTTTAGTATGCATGGGCTTAATGTAAAAAAAACAACAACACCATCTTAAATTCCACACTTTGAAACATCTGATAAACCAATGCTTTAACTGTATAGGAATATCACTAAAATATTAAAAACACTTTGCATAGTATTGCACAAGGCAGCAGCTACAATCTGTTCCTCCGAAAAGAAATGGCCCTTGACACAAGTGATTGTTTTGTTCCACTCAGCACTGAGCAGGCAAGGCAGACTTCTGCCTGACCAAGTGATTTCCGCTCTCCTTTCTCCCCATCCAGTACCTGTCTGTAGTGCAGAGTTGGGGAACACAAGAGGGAGTTGCAGTGGGACAGAGAGAATGTTCTACTAAGGTTGTCCCTTCTGTTGACAGACACTGGTGAATTTTAGTAGCTGAGTACTTGTAGGAAGGTATGCATGAAAGGGAGAAAATGCTTTCTTTCAAACCCAGAACAAGCCCCCACATTCTGGAAATTCTACTGAACTATTTGGATCAGACATGGTTCAACAGAACCAAACCCTGGATCACTTTGATTGTTTCATGTTTTGGGTGAAACGAAATCCAGAAGGGCAAGTAGGGAAGTGGGTATTGTTTCCTCTCTCCCCTGATCATCAGCTCCTAGCATAGCATATCTGATTGGTCCACCTGCCCTATCACCTTCCCAGGGCCTTCCCTCTCTTCTCCTCAGTTGGCACATGTCCAGAACAGCATCTCCACTGGTCCAGCCAGTGCTTCCTGTCTCCCTCTGTTTAGCTGCCTGCACCCTTAGCCTCCTCCCCAGGCCTTCCACCACCCCTTTTCCCAGGATCAAAACTGCCTTCTTTCCTTCCATGCACAGACCCAAGAATGTGTTTCAGCTCAGACATGGGCCACTCAAAAGCAACTGTTCCATGCACAGAACACTGTGCACAAGCCTAACAATATGGCTTTCACTCCTTCTACTCAGAAACAATATATTTAAGACATATAAATAGTTGACATAACTACAAATGCAATAAAAATTTGTTTAAACAAAATACAGGAGCATAATTATATCAAATTGATATTTTTTAAAAATAAAGAATTTGTTCTTTAGAGTCTTAGAGGACAAAAATAAACAAGAATTAATTTTCCCCACTTGCAGCTGAAAAGAGACCAATCTGAATGTAATTAATGTATTATACTAAAATAATAAAACTGATGCCGTGAATATTTTAAAAGTAAGTTTTGTACAGTACATGTAGTTCTACTTTATATTTTAAAAATGTATGAAGCTGTAATGCAACATAATTTTAACATTATAATCTGCATGATCCAGTCATACAATATGATATGCAATCAAATTGTACTTAGTTTATACAAATGCAAATGTTACCTAAATTAACATTCAAAGTGGGCCCCGTGGAAGTACCCCACCTTTATAAGGAAGTGTATCCAAAGCACATACAGTTCACTATCTGCTATAACTGGCATATTATAACCATTACCCAGCACAAGTCACTGGAGTAACATGTTCAGATGTTGCAACCACCATTTCATCTTGAATGAAAATTGGAAAATACAGGACAAATAATTGGCTTTTTCCCAGTTCCACTGTGAAACAGAAGTTGCATCTATTCCAATTCAGGTTGTGAAATACCACATCATTCTACACCTCACAAATCCCACTTTAGGAATGATTTAAAGATTACAGTTTGGTTACACTTTTCAAGTTATAAGAGAGGTGGAGAAGGAGGATATGCAAGTTCACGGTGCCTCCTTTTCCATAGTTTTTATAGTGTATAAATTGGTGCCGAGGGATCGTAAAAACATGTAACAGGGATGCATTACAAAAGAAATGAGAGTTAGGTTGCAAAACCTATTTTAGGAATATCTAAGCACTTAGACTAGCCTTGTGGCATTTTGTTTTTGTAATCTTTTTTCACCTAAAGAATAAATACCCATAACTTATCATGAAATTCTTGGCAGGTTCAGAACTATGCTGCATTGCAAGGCACAAAGGCTGTTAAACAAGGCAATCCTAACTTTGGCACACAAAACAAGCTTCTTGTTTGGATTCATCCCTAGATATAAAACCAGCTGGTTATGGTGAGTACTCCTACTTTGATAACGAACACTGGTAGTCAAGAGAACTGGCCAACTGATGAATTATTTAAAATAAGTATCTGAATGCTTTGTTCTACTTAACAGTGACATAGTACTCAGCTGGTTAAATTTTCTGTTCTGTGGTTTTTTTGGAGTTTTGATACCACTTCCGGATAACTGTTCCAGAACTACTGGCTACCACACAAAGGGCACCTCCCACTGTCCACCATCTTGGTATATGATTAAGAAAAAGAATTTGAAAAATAAAAGCAAATACCACATCCATGGTTTTCATTATAGCGACAGGACCGGCTTTCTCAATTTGTAATGCTTTAGTAAGAAATATTTGACCACCAAGCCCCAACAATCCAATTAATATTAGGAGAAATCTATCTATTCCACAACTGGGCAAACTCCACGCATCTATTATAAAAAGTGCTATTATGCACACAATTAACCCAATTATTGCATAATACCAAATGGACAAAAAGTAATGCACGGATTTCCCCACTTTTCTTAGGATGACAAAAGTCAAGGCACCAGCTACTGCGCTTGCAATGGCTGCTATTGTTCCTTTAAGGTGATCTGTGTAACTTTCTTCTATTTCAGGAACAGTGGATCCAAATAAAAAAGGTGGCCTTGCTATAAGCACTACTCCGGTGATTGTAATCAGGGTGAAAAAAAGGTCCCAAAGACTATATTTCTCTTTAAGAAATATCCAGGCAAACAGGGATGTAAAAACTGGACTGCTGAATGTGATGACGGTAGCATCAGCAAGAGGCATCACTTGGAAAGCATAATAAACAAGGATCATTGCACTGGAGCCAAGCAATCCTCGGAGGAAAAGAACAATTCGTTTGCCTTTTGGTCCCAGAAATCCTGTTCTGAAATGAAAGAAACAGAGAGAGAGAGAAAGACATCATATGTATCCTATGCCTTGAGATTCAATGATCATATATCAATATACCTAACATCATACTATGAAATTTAGAACAAACAATGATAAATCCAACCACAGTTACGTCACTAATGGTAAAAAGGACACTATTAGAATCGTTTCATGTAAATCCTCCTAATATCCTAATCTTAGTACCCTTTATAAGCCATATTCTTAACCCCTATACCAAATGCATTTTCTTCAAGGTTCTGAACTTCATGGACCTTACTTTCCAGTAAATATGTTTACAAGTAAAAAAAAAAAAAAAGCATGGCTAAAATAAGCATGCTGGAGGATATTTATTTAGGCTATCTCAAATAAGCATGCTGAAGGATATTTATTTAGGCTGCCCAACTCAACTATTATGAACAGATCTCTCACTAGCATCAATCCACCATCAAGGGTGACCCCAAAAGATTTTTCAGTATCTTTGAAGCATGTACATGTTCAGACTAATCAACATCCTTTCACTCTCATCCGTCTTCATCTGCTACTGAGCTTGTAATTAGGAAATTCAAACTAATGCCATTTTATGAGAGCTGTACAAGTACAAGTCAAGTCTCATTCAAGTTGAATGTGACTCATGGGGACATCTATGCAATTTTCTGAGCAACAGTTCAGAAGTGATTTGCCAATATCTTCTGGAATGTTTTCTGATTTTCCAGTCTGGTCTACAGCCCTGATATGTATGTATGTATGTATGCATGCATGCATGAAATATACTGTATATGGCTACCCATCTCATTTAACTATTGTTAGCTGCCATGACACTGGGCAGCTAACAATACTTAAAAGCAAAATAAAAACAATATAATAAAATTATAAATAACACAAATAGCAGCCGGTGGAAAAAAACAACCAAGAGCAACATTTAATATAACCATGAAAGGGGCTCCCCTATTCTCTGGCAGACTCCCATCCTAATTTGTTTCCCAGCCTGGAGGAGGTGAGCCAGATGCTGTCACCTCCATATATCCGTACAATTGTAAATCCCTCTTTGATTGGTCACGATGTGCACATATACAGAGCCCTCACCTCCTGAAGCAGTGTCTCCCAGCTGCAAACTGAGTGGCAACCTCACACATTGGCGAGGTGCTTGTCTAGGACCATGGGCTCAGGTGAATGCATTATACATTAAGCAAGGTAATAAGGTACTCCTTAGGCCTTTGCTGTAGAAGTACACTGAAAGCAAAAGAAGAGAACTTAAGTCTCCTGTTTCACTCACATTTCATCACTTCACCTTCAAGTCCCTTCTATACAGCTGTTTTCTCTGGCTGGGAAATCCCATCAAGATAAAAATATGATATAAATAATGTATAAATACATAAATATGACAAACAAACAAACTCTGGGAGAAGAATTCAGGATTCTCATTCTGCCTAAGTTGCAGTATTAATCTCCTTTTCTCCCCCAATCTTGTTTCACACTGATCTGACAGCACCTTAATTGGATTTAACTCTGCTATCATCAGATACAGCTTTGCTCCAAATTTGTAAAATGCATGTCATATATCCTTCTATCAATTTAAAATATTGTGGAATTAAGCCATGTTAGCTGCAAAAAGCATACAATCATATAATGTTCTGACTGAAATTCAGCATACAGTGGTACCTCTAGTTACGAACTTAATCCGTTCCATGACTCTGGTTGCAACTCGAGT